TAGGGGTCTTTTCCAACTTAAATAATTTCATGATTCTAATATACACATAAATGCAAACATCAGCATATGAGCTTGTGGTAAACTTACAATCTGTTTACCACCCAAGCCCTCACAATTCTCCACACCTCTTTGTGGAGCTCTTGTCAGTGAAGCTGAAGAGAGACTTGGCTCGTTCCATGTCAGGGCTGTGGGTCTCGCAGACAAACTGACTCTCCAGCTCGTGGATGTAGAGACCGTATGGGAATTTAGATGCCTGTCAGAGCACTCAGATGTCCTAATCCTTCATGATGGTACTTTTTTTTTAGCCTCCCTCATTGACTTAAATGCTGTGATCTGGGCTATAGAGTGAGACAGAACTAATCACTGGTGGTTCACACACCTCAGTCTTCCTTATGAAACAGTAGATGGAGGTTGTGGTGATTTTTCTTTCTATTTTCTCCTATAACAGCGTTCAGAGCACATATGACACATCATGACTTAATGTCCTCCTCTGCAGGAAATAACACTGTTTTAATTAGTATTTCATTAAATATGGGAGCATGGTACTTCCCAAGTGTTTTGTTCAAGTTCTTCTCCTCTGCCTTTTGCAGTCCCAGCAGTCAGATTTTTGTGTGGAGTGAATAGTTCTGTCCTCCAGAGGTTACCTAAATCTCCTTTAAGGAGCACAACATGCTGCATATTGAGACAAAACTGCGGATAAATTGATAGGATCCATGTAGCACTCCCACTGGCCTGGAAAGGAGGACAGCACTTAAAGAATAGAAAACACCCATGAGGAGAGGGGGGAGAACCAGACCAGCCATCTAGACAGGGTGTTATCGTGGCTGCTCCATTTCCAGCCACATTTCCTACAGAGCTTTATCCACAAGCCATGCTTTGGCAATATCGATCTACTTAGGAGAGGAAAGTTCAAAGTAAGAGTTCTGTTGGGGCTTACACACATATGAAAATGGTTTTGTGCTGTTTGTGGCACTTCTAAATATTCCAAGAAGCAGAAATTCACAGGAAATTTCCACATCAAACATAGTCTTCTAGAGACTTCAGGCACCAGGTGGAAGAACCAGCAGCTAAACAAGGACTGTAAAGATTTATATTTTGGGTTTAAATATCTAGAGTGGCAATTAAAGCACACAGACAATTTTCTGGATCTTCACCTCAGTGGGCATCATTCTTTCCAAACAGGAAAGGAGCTTGATTTAGGGGTGATGGGTCCATTTTAACAATTCAATTACTAGCCTGATGCCTATGGTGTAACACATTTACACATTACAGAAAACACGGGCTCTTGAATCACATATGCGAGGTAAGTAACTTATGCTAAAGTCTGGTACAAAGTGTTTTCCAAGAGGAAACCATCAGTGAAAATGAGGGTTTGAAACTCTTCAATCTATGCTTCTTGTCAGAATTTTTTGTAACATTTTAAAGTGAAAGGCAGTGAATACATAAAGCTTGTAAATATTATTTTAAAAATATGAATTACAATATAAGTACTCATGATGGAAGGAATTTCTACAACATAAAACATTTTTTAATTAAAACCTTACCTCACCTCTGGAATTTTGAAAGGTAACTACCATTATTTTATTTTGTGTTCTTCCTATGTCCCAGCACTAATTGATATTTTAAAACATTAAAGGATTTCTATAATTTCAACAGCCTAATATTTTATGCCTATTTTATTTTGATTTATTTTCTCTGCTTAATTTAGTGATAACTGGGAGGGATGTTATTTAGCATTAGCTGATTGAAATATTTCCTTATCTTCTCTAGAAGAAATATAATAAAAGCAAACTAGATGTAGCAATGATTTTTTTTTAAATTGTATATGCTTTCACCAGTAGGAATATATGAATTCAAATTGAAGTTCTGGCCTTACAAAGGAGACATTTACCAACTTCATATTTTTCAGAATTTTCATGGAAAATGTTGGAAATATTAACTTTAATTTTGAGCTATAAAACTCGGGAGGGAAAAAAAAAGGAAAGATTATGTGAACTCAGACTTCCAAGAGCTGACTAGCTCTGTCAACATCTGTCATCATCAGCCACTTTTGCCACCTTTCTGAACACCTCTCCTGCCAAATCCCTTCCACTGCTTCAGTGCAGGGAACAGATGTTAGTTACAGGCTCTGTTTCTCTCTACTCTATTCTTTACCTAAGTGCATGACCCATTCTTGTTTTCCAAAGATTAGGAGAATAATTTGGAACAGAAGAAACCTCTGGAGAACTCCAATCCAGCTCCCTGATTGAAGCTGGGCTAACTTCAGTGTCAGAAGTAGTTGCTCAGGGCCTTGCCCTGATGAGTGTTGAAAGTCTCCAAGGCCTTTCCAGAGTCTGACATTATGAAGAATTTTTCCCTTATGTTTAATGTGAACTTCTCCAGCTGCAGCTCTCAGCAATTGTATCTTGTCCCTTCACTGAATACTCCGGGGAGGAGTTGATGCTTTTCCTTGTAGCTCTCCATCCAGTAATGACAAAAGTCTCCTCAAGACTGTCTGTTCTCCAGGCCGAACAAGTCTAGTTCCTGCTTCTGGTTCTAATTTCATCCAGACCATTCCTTCCCCATTCTTCACTGTAAGGTGACAGAGTACTACATTAGGCTCTCCAGAGAGACTGTGGAGTCTCCTCCTCTGGAAATCTTTAAAACCCAGGTGGATATGATCCTGTGCAATATGCTCTGGGTCAACCTGCTGTAGCAGTGGGGTTGGATCAGATGATCTCCAGAGGTGCCTTGTAACCCTAACTATTCAGTGATTCTGTAATTTGGATTCCAGATTCCTGGTTTAACTATTCTTATTCCCCTTCTCTTCTCCTTGTGCCATACCTCCAGCCTAGCTGCCCATTCCAAACCTTCTTCCCTTTGGTGGGTTTTCTACCTGAAAATGGAAGTGTCTCCTTCACCAGTCTTCAGGACCAGGGACTCCCTTCTCCACTTCCTTTTCTGGGAAAGCCAGGAAGAGCAAAGAGTAAATACTCTTCCATAGCCACCTTCCAGAATATTTCTTCACAGAGTACTGCTTGTGAACTGGAAAATCATGAAGTCACTGAATGGTTTGGGTTGGACAGGACCTTAAAGAACACCTAGTTCCAGTCCCCTGCCATGGGCAAGGACACCTTCCACTAGACCAGGTTGCTCCAAGCTCCATCCAACCTGGCCTTGAACACTTGCATGAATGAGGCATCCACAGCTTCTTTGCAACCTGTGCCAGTGTTTTACCACCTTCACAGTAAAGATCTTCTTCCTCATCTAAATCTCTGCTCTTATTTTAAAGCTGTTCCCCCTTTTCTTGTCCTATCTTCCTGCATAAAAAGACACTCTTCCTCTTTCTTACAAGCCTTCTTTAGATATGGAAAGGCTGCAATCAGGTCTCCCATTGTCTCCCAGATATGTGTCTGATGAAACAACTGCTAGAAATGCACCGGAGGAGGGAATCTGTGGAACTCACTTAGCTCTGCAACACAGCAAAACAGCCATGATCAATAGCTTGGGAGAAAAGAGACTCAGTGTTGCAGGATTGTTCCCTTATATTGGCCAAAATTTTGCTTAATATCATGTTGCATCAGCCTCCAAATGTCTTTGCTTGTAAAAGAATGTAGTATAGCCTGACAAGTCCTCCTCAGAAAGTTCTTCCATGCATTTTCAGTTTCTTCTTCCTCTCATTTCAGTTTCAACCCATTTCCCTGGTTGCTGATACTTTTATGAAGAATCGTGTTTAATTTCAGTTTGTTTCTCCACAGACAAATAAAAGAGTACTGAATTACATGGGGAATAGATATGGTGAGGAAATGCTTTGAGTTCTCAAAATATTAGGAGGCAATTACTCTCTTGTATAATTAACCCATCGTGACTAGTTTAGGGCTGACCAGGATCCCAGCAGAAATCTGTGGCCAGAGACTGGTACCCTGTGAGGCTGTTATTTTGTCTTGGCTTTGCAGAAAAAAATCAAGTTTCTGGAAACTGAGACTTGATTTTCAATGGATGACCAACAAGAATCAAGACTTGCTGAGCTCATAGGGACCCTCTCTCGGAGTGTTTCTAGTGCTTCCAGTACTTACTTGATCCCACAACAGAGGATTATTTCAGGAAGAAAACACAGCAAACTGTGGTAGGAAACGCTTAAGGGAGATCTATTGCTGTTCAGCATGGAGAAGACTGTAGGGAGACCTCATTGCTGCCTTCCTGTACTGAAAGGGGGTTTTAAGAAGGAGAGAGATGGACTTATATGGGCAGATAGTAACAGGACAAGGAGCAATGGTTTCAAACTGAAAGAGGGGAAGTCTAGATTAAGTGTCAGGAAGAAATTCTTGGCTGTGAGGGTGGTGAAGCCCTGGCACAGGTTGCCCAGAGAAGCTGTGGCTGCCCCGCCCCTGGCAGTGTTCAAAGCCAGGTTGGATGGGGCCCTGAGCCACCTGGTTTAGTAAGTGGCATCACTGCTCATGGCAGCGAGGTTGAAATTATATGGTCTTTAAGGTGCTTTCCAGCCCAAACCAGTCTAGGATTCTGTGTTTCTATTGTCCTGTCCCATGCAAACAGCTGCAGAAAGGAAGCCATTCGTTTCATGTGGCAACTTAAAGAAAACAGAGTTTGCATTGACTGCGTAAATCCCAAATGCTCTATTACAGGTGCCAGAATCACAGAAGGATATCCCTTGGCTCAGCAGAAGGAGCTCTTTGCATCAACAGAGGTTTTTGCAAGGACTTTACAAAGAATCAATGAACGAGGGTGTCAATTTTGGTTGCAAAATTACAGGCTGTATCATGCCTACTGTCCGGATTCCACTGGGATGGGGTTCATATTCTGCATCTTTCCACCAATCAGCCCCATTGTCCTAGAAGGTTGGTGTCATGGTTTAACGAAGCAGAATATGAACCCCATCCCAGTGGAATCCGGACAGTAGGCATGATACAGCCTGTTATTTTGCAACCAAAATTGACACCCTCATTCACTGATTCTTTGTAAAGTCCTTGCAAAAACCATGATTGGTGGAAAGATGTGTAATGTCTTAGTGATGGCTACCTTTGATGGAGGATCGGGTACTCTGTCATTTGGTCTTCTTGCAGGCACAGTAGCACAGAGGAGAGGCAAAAGGTGGGGCTGTCATCTACATATCCCTATTTTGAATAATTTTGAACAATGTATTGTAGAGCTCCCATTTTCCCTGTTTTCCCTCTCTTTGTAAATTCATTCATATTTTCTACCCCTCACACTTCTCATCTCACCCAGATTAAAAGAATTGGCTGAAGCATGTTCATATCACTACTTGGTTGCTTATGCTGCTAACAGAAAAATCCAAATGAGCCATGCTGCACTTCTGAGACTTATTCCTCCAAAAACTATTTCTGCTCCCAGGGAAGTCAATGGAAGTCTAATTAGTCCCACAGTAATAACAAGAACTTCCTTTTTGTAGAGCAAGACAATTGCCATGTTAAAACTGTTAATTAAATGAGTTTGGCTCTCTCATCAGGTTATTAACAAATTCTAGTCACAGCAGCCAAGATAACACTGGCTCTCACAGTAGGAGGAATAGTCTTGCCATGCTTGACACAAAAGCCATGAACTCAGTCTGTGGCAAATCAGCATCTGAGCTCACAGTTTGGCTTGCTTTTGAGCTTCCAACTAATCCCTGGGATTGCTGCTTGTGCAAGCCTTCTACAAGATTAAGTGCTTGAGCCATTTGCTTCTGTAAATGTTAAATCAGGCCCTATTGCTGCTGATGGTTTGTTCAAATTCATAGGATCACAGAAATCACAAAATGGTTTGGTTTGGAAGGGACCTTAAAGATCATCTTGTCCCAATCCCCTGCCCTGGGCAGGGATACCTTCTGCTAGACAAGATTGCTCCAAACCCCATCCAAACTGGCCTTGAATATATCCAGGAATGGGGCAAACACAACTTTTCTGGGAAACCTGTCCCACATTCTTGCCTACATCTCCAGTACATCTCCTTATTCTCGACTGGTTGTACTCTATAATATGAAGCAGCTGTCTCTGCTTCAGGACCAGAGGTAAAGGTCTAAGGTGGAGTCCAAATACCATAGAAAAATAGGAAGACATTTCTTTCCATCTGTGGAGCATTCCAAGCTAGTGCTTTAATATATCCACTGCCTTGTACTTTTTACAAAATTCAAAGTTGTTTTCATTGTAAAAAATTCCATAATGAAAACCATCTGCCAGTTTCATTCATAATTGCTTAAAAAATATAATTATACACCATTTTGTAGTGTGGTAGTTTTGACATTCACTAGCTGGAAGAAACAGAAATGGAGCAGCAATTTGACTCCAAGTTATTTACCTAGACAGATTTCAGGCTGACCACTACTTCTGTGTGCCCGAATGGGCAGTTCCTGGCATTAACAGAAGAACTGATGTTGTTCCTTTTCAAAGCTACTGAACCCTGTTAGCAGGTCAGGCTCCCACGCACTGTCATGTTCTCTCCAAAAGGGTGAATTTTCTGTGAGAGTATGGGACATAACATTTGTCAGTGTCAACTTCTAGCAATGCAACAGGCTAGCCATGTTAAACACATCACAGAATGAGGACCTACAGAATTCTTCTTGCAGCACATCCTTTAGACAATAATATATTTTGGGGGAAAGACAGTAGAAAGATCTGAATAATGGCCCAGGACTGGGTTCCCTATGCATTATTTCACACTGGTATCTTCAAAACACTTTTTTGCAGTCTAATCTCCCGTGGCCTTTAAAAACAGATATACTATTCTTCTGCATTAAAATGAAATCATATGCAGTGAGTTTCCAACAGTTTTTCTTAGAAATATAAACATTTCAGTTCAATGTTAGCTGGTTGAAATTCATGCTCCAGGATTTTTTTTTAAAAAGCCTTCACCCCAGAGATTACTTTCTTCATATTAAACTCGGTTAAATATATATTGCACACAAGGGCAAATTTACTCCTCTTTGAGTTAAACCATGGATCGGCAAAACATGGCAAATTCTCCTTCAAATCCCTGCAACCCATACGTGGTGTAATTCAGGGTACTTCAAAAGCATTTAAAATCCACAGCTGAAAATCAAAGATGAGAATTTTACCCTTTATTTCTACACACTGTCAGTGCAGCACCTGATTTCTTCAGTTTTCAAGACATTTTGTGTTACTATGCTTTAAACTGATGGGTAAAGTTTTGCCTGCGGAAGCAAAAAAATGAACCCGCACCAATGATGATCACCGATAAAACCAACACAAATGTTAATATAGTAAGGAAGTTGATTTTCTTCAGATCCTCTTTTTCACAGTCTTCTGGTCTAATGTTCTTGATGTGCATTTCATCCTGGTACCCAAAATTCCGAGTGTGCTGGCATGTTAAATGCTCCACATTGGGGATCTGGACATTTTTGCTCTGGATCATGGATGAAAGCCAGATGTTTCCACAGCAGTCGAGTGGGTTCCCGGTGAGATACAAGTTTTTAAGTGAATTTTCTAATGCTAAAATATTGCTGTTCTGTAATGTACTGAACCTGTTGTTCCGTAGGTCCAGAACCTCTAGTGGAGAGTCACTACCCCACTTAGGCAGCCAGTTCAGCTGATTTTCAGAGAGGTTCAAATGTTTAAGGTGACTAAAACAAGGCAAGTCAATATTTAAATCTATCAGGCTATTACCATATAAATACAAACATTCCAGAGACTTTTCCAGACCTGATAATGCTTTAAGTTCTATATTCAGTCCAGCGTTCATGGAGAGGTCCAAGACAACCAGAGAAGTCTTGTAGAAGCTGTATGCTGGTAGGATGCTCAGCATGTTGTCAGCTAGGTACAAGTACTGAAGAGCAGGAGAATTGACAAATGATACACAACCACTTTTCTCTCCAGCAAGTCTTTGCTTAGCTAATCCTGAGTACATGCTGCACAGGCTGATATTATTGCTTTGTAGATTAAGCAGTCTAAGGCTAGGAAGATTTGAGAAGATGTCAAACTGCAGTGTTTGAAGATAGTTGTTTTGAACATAGAGCTCCTTCAAGTTTGACAATGCACCAGCATCGAGGAGAAGGGTCTGCAAAGCATTGTAGCTCAAGTCAAGGACAGTTAAAGACATCAATGCACTGTCATAACTTACGGCAAATGACTGAATTTTAAGTGAATTTTCTAATGCTAAAATATTGCTGTTCTGTAATGTACTGAACCTGTTGTTCCGTAGGTCCAGAACCTCTAGTGGAGAGTCACTACCCCACTTAGGCAGCCAGTTCAGCTGATTTTCAGAGAGGTTTAAATGTTTAAGGTGACTAAAACAAGGCAAGTCAATATTTAAATCTATCAGGCTATTACCATATAAATACAAACATTCCAGAGACTTTTCCAGACCTGATAATGCTTTAAGTTCTATATTCAGTCCAGCGTTCATGGAGAGGTCCAAGACAACCAGAGAAGTCTTGTAGAAGCTGTATGCTGGTAGGATGCTCAGCATGTTGTCAGCTAGGTACAAGTACTGAAGAGCAGGAGAATTGACAAATGATACACAACCACTTTTCTCTCCAGCAAGTCTTTGCTTAGCTAATCCTGAGTACATGCTGCACAGGCTGATATTATTGCTTTGTAGATTAAGCAGTCTAAGGCTAGGAAGATTTGAGAAGATGTCAAACTGCAGTGTTTGAAGATAGTTGTTTTGAACATAGAGCTCCTTCAAGTTTGACAATGCACCAGCATCGAGGAGAAGGGTCTGCAAAGCATTGTAGCTCAAGTCAAGGACAGTTAAAGACATCAATGCACTGTCATAACTTACGGCAAATGACTGAAGACAGTTTTTACTGAGATTAAGGGTGTGAAGGGACAACATTGTTTCAAAGAACTCATCTGGAATGGATTTTATTTCATTATAACTTAAGTCTAAATATACAAGCTGGGATAAATAAAGAGAACTTTTGTTTCTACTTTGCTTCTGGTCAAAAAGATGGAAAGAAGCATTTAGCCATTCATTTTTCACATAGTCCATTTTATGATGAGGAGATTCAGCAGTGAGCTGGATTAAATTCTTTGATAAATTCAGAGTTACCAGCTTATTTACCTGAGGGAACACTGGAAAATGAAACAGCTTGTTTTCACTCAGATCCAAACACCTCAAGCTATATTCATCATCTGATTTTATGGTGTGGAAGGTCTCAATGCTGTTCCTGCTAAGGTCAAGTATCTCCAGCTGCCTGAGGTTAAAATCAGAGATGCAAGTAATTGAATTCTTTGAGAGATTGAGTTTGGACAGGCTCACTAGAGTCTCAAAAGCACCTTCTTCTATTTCCATGATGATATTTCTCTGAAGATCTATCTCCACAAGATTGGGAGATCCCTGAAACATCTTTTGGGAAATCATTATAATGCTGTTGTCTGCCAAGGAAAGATACTGCAGTGCTGGAGCTTCTTTAATGAAATACTCAGCCATCCCATTGTACAGACTGTTGTGGGACAAGTCCAGTACTTCCACCTTGGGTAAGAGTCCAATCCCCTCTGTGCCATTTTGAGCAAGCTCATATAAGTGATTGTTGGCTAAATTTATTTCCAGCAAACTCTTCATGTGTGCAAAGACTCCAGGTGTGATGAAACTTATCTGGTTAGAGCTTAAATCCAGGCACTGAAGGAAAGTGTAAAATGATGATGACATTTCAGGAATGCTTTGAATCAGATTTCCTGACAGATCTATTTTGTTTACATTTGGATAGAGTTCATGAGGGATTTGATGGAGGTGTTTGTTGTGGCAAAATGCCTGAGAGTTTGCCTGCCAGAAAAAGAGAAAAGGAGTTGTTATATGGCAAATGAAAAATGTATTTGCATTAAATATAAGAAAAATAACATTCAGCATCCAGGCAGATGCTGCTTCTGAAACACTGATCACTTTTTCTGAGCATTCAGACAGCAAGAACAACAATCCCAATTAGCTCCTTTGCAACTAACAGCACTCATTTAATTTTAAAGAGATTTCTGACTTGGAACAGTACAGTTTAATCTGCATGTGATACCTACTAAAAGTTCTCCTTTTTGTACCTTTCTGCTAGACTCATTTGAACAGTCCCAAGTTTCTCTGCAATCAAGCACTCATTTTTGTGCTGATGTTTCGTTTTCTCACTTTCATCACTGTATTACATTTTGCAGACTCTACTTGCAGTGTAAGCGGTACTTGGAAGAGCTTCATTCTGCTGGCAACATGGGTTCCAGAGCAAGGAGGTATATAAACCTATAAGGATCCTATAGCAGAAACCCTGTCCCTCCTTCATAGTCACATGGTCAAATATGCCTTCCCTTAGCCATGGCTTAGTTAAGCAAGGCAGCTTTAATCAAACAGGGTCATTCAACAACTGAGACACTTCTGACACCAATCTCCAAACTCATTCCACTTTTATCTTCCAGTTTATCCTTTTCCTAAGGCAACAGTTCCCTTCTACTTGCATGGAGAGCATGCCTTACGAAGCCACCCACACAAGACACTGTGATACAACACTGAAAACACAAATTATGGAAATTCAGTTTTTGAGAGGGAAAAAGATGGGATGTGCAGTAAGGGTCAGGCCTTTTCAGGCCAATTCTCAGCAGAAGGACAAACTTTATGTGCATGTTCATAAGGAAACATTAGAAACATGAACACAACCATCCTTACATAACCATCAAGTTCGGTTTTGTTGTTAAGAAGAACATACAGTAGCAGGAGGAAATGGAATGTGAAAGACTTAGGCAGCATTTAATTTGCTGGAGAAAAAGTCTTGTTATTAATGTATTTGGGTGTCTGGAGAAGGGAAGTTCTAGGAAGGGATAAAAGAGAAAGAAAAGAAAGGAAGGAAGGAAGGAAGGAAGGAAGGAAGGAAGGAAGGAAGGAAGGAAGGAAGGAAGGAAGAGCAGAATCCAGATACTATGACATGAAGCTTTTCAGAAATCAAGCAAATATTAAAAGTCAAAGATATTAAATCCCATATGTTTTATATGAACTTTGAGGTGAATGAAGTGGCAGATCTGTTTAGCAGAAGTGGGGCACTAGTCAGCATTTTGTGAATCTCTTTTGCATCATCTTAGTTCTGGAGACCACACAAGAATGTGCCAGAGAAGTGCAAGTGCTCATTCAAACTCTAGATGTACACAAGCTGCTCCCATAACACATTTTTCCCAATGATCCCAAGTAAACTGGCTATTAAAACTTAAACCCCTTCTTCTTTTCCCTCCAACTCACTCAAATCTCCCTCAGCTCAAAAAAAAAATCAGAAATAAAAAAAAAAGAAGGAAATTTTCTAACTTCTCCCTGAAAATATTTATTTCCTGCAAAGTCACTGTACAATTCCTCATTTTGAGTTAAATTATGCCCAGAGTGGGCCTTATTTCCTAGGCATGAATAGCAGGGCAGGAAACCTCTTCTTACTCATTTGTGGAAGAGGAAGAAGCCAGAAGGATACAAAAATCCAGAGTGAAAAAGAAGAAACTGCTTTGCATCCTAAGGCAGATGCCAGGTTTTTTCTCACACTTTCAGCCAGATCTCAGCAATTGCTGAGCACCGTCCATTCCTCCTGGGCAGCTAGAATCTTAGCAAAGTCCTGATGCAACTGCTGTCAATGCCAACAATCTGCTTTTCATTGAAGTTGATGGGGGAGGGGTCAGCTACTGTTCACCATGTATCTTGCATGATTTGGTTTTTAATCTGCATCCATGGAACCATCCCCGTTATAAAAGGGACTAATAAAATCTACACCTCACACTGTCTGCCATTTGTTCCTACAACATTTCCCCTCTCATTTTTCTTCTTAAGCTCTCCTTCCTTTTCACTGACTATTTTGATCCTCACTAAATTTCTTATCTTGTCTCTTCTGCACCATATTTTCTCCCCCAAGGTTCAAACTGCATGAATTTCATTGTCATCAGCAGTAGGAAAAAAGGTGAAGCATGTCTCTGTGGAATGGAGCAAACAGCATCTGTTTGGTTTATCTCCTCGCCTCTCACCCCTTAGTCCAATGGGTTGGTAGCCTGAGACTGGAATAGAGACTTTTGTCAATCTCTTGTTCTGACTTCCATCACCTCTGCCAGTGCTGCCATCAGTTTGTTTCAAGTCCATTGCCAAGAAGTACTGGAGGGTGAGGACCACTTGGTCCCATTAAGATGCTGGCAAAATAAAAAATAAAAAATGACCCAACAGTTCAAAAGCTGGGCATCATTTGTTTCCTGACTCCAGTTCTTCACTGCTCAGCACTGGGTGGAAGTTGTCAGCCACCTCAGTAAGAGCCCTACAAAAAGGAGTCGGACTCAAGCCTGCCCTTGAGTTCTCCTTTATCAATTCATGAACATTTGAACCAAGAGTCTGGGCTGGAGCCACTTGGCACTGACCTGTACTTGTATGGTGTCCTTGACCATTCTTAGAAGAGCTGCTCAGGCAATCAAACCTTAGCATTTTGCCCAGATACCACACATCAGCTGACCTATGACATCTGGTTATGTACCTGTCCTTGCATCACCTCAAAGCAAGGTGAAATAGAATTTTCTAAAATCCCTTCCCTCTTATGAATTATTTGAAATCTCCTCCTTTGCCAATTAACAGGAATTAGCAAAATCATATTTCTTTGGAAAGTAAAATATGATACAGTTGAAGCTTTGCCTATCCTTGAAAAATAATGTGAGTTAGGAAGAACGTCCTGACATTTGATCTGTTCCCTACTGTCTCACAAACGGATAGATGTGCTGTAACTGGTATAATCAGTGCAGTTCACCCCATGTCAGGGGTCTGGTAGGGACTGCTTAGTTCCTAAAACCTTTTGTAGGAGAGTTTAGTTCAGCAATAGAACTATCAGTGGTGACTCAGAACATGGCACAGGTTTCTAACTCATGCCTCTTCTGTGAGATTTGAGATTAAAGTTTCCATTTCTGAGCCTTTGCTATTCTAAAGGTGTCACCACAGGGAAAGTACCATATAAAAGAGTGAGGCTGTGATGCAATACAGGACTGTCAATGACAGCTAGCCAGCTAATCCAGTAGCTCCTTCTTTCTTTGAGCTGTTTAGATCCACACGAAATGCCAGTGAAGGAAGGCAATCAGTATGGACATTAGCAACACTGAGCTGTTGATTTACATCAGATGAGCATCCTGGCCCCCGACAGCAGTGTGTTTTCTGTCAGGGCTCATTTTATCCCAGAGTAGTTGTGTTGTTGGCTTGATGAAAGCAGTTTACAGTGGACTAGTGCAAGCAAGCATGTGTTTACTTCTCAGCAATCAGCCTGGTCTGTGACCCATCAAGAAAGGGGATGAAACTGCAGGGATTATTGCATGGCTCATCCAGCCTTCGTGTGACTATGGCATGGGACCCAGGCTGTCCTGGTTACAGTGGCTGCATCAGTGTTCCCTCTCCAGTCAAGGAGCTGAGCTACCCAGTCACCTTCCCAAGATCTTTTTATATATACACTAGGTCTTAATTTCTCTGGAATTCAGGAAGTGCAGCAATATGGCAGGGTGGGCAGGAATGGAATGAGTCCCACAAGGGAGATGTGTACAGCTAGCAAATTATTTTTTCCCTATTTTGGAAATTCTTGAGGATTTGTGCTGAACAGCTTCAATGTTCAAGGGGGGAAAAGAAAGTATTTTTAAACATCCTGGTACAGTCAGAAGCACTTGGGGAGAGAAGAGAGAAATCTCAGTTGCAAATAACATTTATAATATTGTACCAGGTGCTTGCAAAAATTCAAGGAGCAGATTTTGTACTGGAGCAAGAGTCTTTGTCATTTCTCTTCACTCCAGCAGAAGTCACGTACAACTTCCCTGGCAGAAATGCTGTGGCAGGGCAGAGGAGGTCAGTCTACTTGTTATTACAAAAGAGCTGGTATAGAAGTATTTCACAGAAGATGTTTTAATGAAAGTACAAAGAACAACTGATATAAAGAAGTTGATTTGAAGTCTAAGTTCTTTCTCTGTCTTAGCCACAGAAACCCTGTACAATCTTAGGGAAATCAAGTCAAATTTCTTTTAACCAGCTTCTCCTTAGGAAAAAAGCTGAGATAATGACCCTTCTTTGCCCGCCCCTCTCCCCCTCCCCTTAGTGTCCTGTGACTACAACAAGGACACAGCCTGATGACAGACTGCTAAGCATCCCCTAAACCTGCAAATCCCACCTCTGCCATCTCAGGAATCCTGGTCCTCGGGGTTTCCCTTCTCAGACACTGTAGCTTCTTGTGCAGTGCCTGTAACAAGGGAGTCCCAACCTCACTCAGGATCTCAAGGGACCTAAATAGAGAGACAGCCTTACCATTTCACAAGATGTCCCCTCGGGAAGTTGGTAGTTAGAGGTTTCTTTGTTCACCACTGCCAGGAAGAAGATGATGTACAGTTTCATGGCTCTGTGGGTAAAAATAATTACAGTTAGATTTCATATGGGACACAGTGGTCAACACATGCAAAAGCTGGCACCAGGTCATCATCTAACATGGAGAAGGACACAAGCAGTGCAATAAATTAAGCCATCTCTGAGGATCTGAAAGGAAGGTCCAAGGCATTTAATGGGTTTTCCCCAGTGTGATTTCAGCTGCTGCCTAAATGATATCCAGGACACTCAACAAAGTCCAGATGTTCAAGCTGGACAGGGTGTCTGGCATCATGGAGAAAGAAAACTAGTGAAGAGGGAGTTATCTTCACACACCCCATAGACACAGCACCGATGCTTTCAACTGGGCTTAAGTTTTGGGTGCCACGTCCTGAGCAAAGCCAATAGGTGTCGCTCAGTAACAACCAGAAGTGGGAACAGCTGTCATTTCCTACAACATTGCCTACTCCTCTTATCCCAGAGCATTAAAGAACTTTTACATGTGTATCCTTGTTAATGCCAACAGCTTAAGGAGTTGTCCTAGGTTACAATATAAAGATACATTCTATTCCCATCCTCAAGAGCTGCTGAAACCAGGAGAGGCATTGTTTTTCCTTATCTTCTGTTAATGAGCCCATAAATGTCTTGCCTCATGACTCAGAGATAACTCCCTCCAGGAGCCATTTCTGTTTAATCAAGGACCCACCGCATGACTCAGAACGATATCAGCCCATTGTGAGATGCTCTGCCCAGGGAGGAGGAGCTAAGCATCCCCACCCGGATATAATCTGGGGTTTGGGACAGAACAAGCTGCCCTTACCCACTGGTTTCCAGATGACAAGAGCTACCAGATGGTTTCTATGGGATCACCACTTCAACAAGACCTTTTCATCTGGACTGCTACCACCACCCTAACTACCAGGGTATCAGGTTGTATTCTGACTCTGTCAGTGGTTTTTCTGTTGTATTATTGCATGTATTTTGGTTTGTTTTTTTTTCCTTTTCCTAATAAACTGTATTTCTGAATTGGAGTCTCTCACTGGTTTTGCTTTCAAACCAGAACAGGAGTGGACTGAGATTTTTCATTTTACATGCTCCAGGTATGGACAGGCTTATAAATACATTTGACAGGAGATCATAGAACCATATGTTCCACAGAATATGTAAAATTGGAAGAAACCCGCAAAAATAACTGGGTTCAATCCCTGGTCCTGTACAGCACCATCCCCAAGAGTCACACCCTGTGCACAAGAGTGTTGTCCAAATGCTTCTTGAACTCTCTCAGGCTTGGGTTGGAAGGGACTTTTAAAAGCCATCTGGTGCAATCCCCCTGCCATGGACAAGGACAAATTGTCAGCCTTACAAAGAGACAGATATGAAATATAAATATAATGGATATAAAACATAATGGATTTGAGTGAAACAGAGAATTCGTAAGAATGTAACTGTTTGGAAAGCACTCCATAAAAGAGCACAGAACTGCAAAAGAAGCAAAGACCTCTGGGAGGCCTGTCACTGGACAATGGGGAAAAACAGAACCAAAGCCGAAGGCAAGTATTCCTGCTTCAAACAGCTCCAAATGCAACCCCAAACCCATGCACAAACCACTGGCATCAATGTACTCTGTGGCTTCCGCCCACAGAGCATTGAAGAGCTGGAAACAAAAGAGATGGGATCATTCTCAGCTGATGGAGATCCCTCTGCTTAATCACTTGGATGGATGCAGCTGATGGCCCCTTACAGCACTGACAGTCACTGAACAGCAATGCCAACAAGTTCCTGATAAGATTCTGCCCATTTCTACCCTCCCCAGAACCAGAGAGCAGAGCTGTGTACTAGGAATAGAGAAACTGGGAAGGACTAGACCACACCTACTCTGTGTACAGTTTGTGTATTCCTTCCATTTCACAAGAAAACCCCAGTGATGGATGATGACCTGTGACCCCAAGGTGCAAGAGCAGGTCTCAGTAATGGGATCAGAAGTGTGTTCCTCCCTGTTAAAACCAAACCAAGGATGTTAATTCCCTACCATTGAATCAGTGTTTGCAAAATATGCTGAAATCATCTGATGGAAAGAGGAATGGCCAATATCACCATCTATAATGTTTCCATTGTCCCCCTCTGTTCTTCATTCCCCATGCTTGGAGCAGCTGGAACCTCCTTTAAGGAGGAGAAATCTATTTTTATCATTTGAGTATTAGTTTGCTGAGGTGGTGATAGAAGGTGAACATACCAATGATTACAAGGCTTTTCTCCAAGCCCTCAAAGGGAAATCCTTTCTGTTCAAACAAAATTAATTAAGCTGAGGATATTAGCCACAACAGGCACCACCCTGAGGAACAGTATGTGGCCCATGTGCTCTGCAATGTCTTCCCTTATCATACTGTCAGTGCAAAAAAAGGTCTCTTTTCCACTTAAATAATAAACCTGACACAGTCCAGAGGCTTAACACACTTTATAACTTCCTAAATTTTAGGTTTATAAAGCAACTGGGAAATTGATGTATTTGAACACCAAAAAAAAAAAAAAAAATTGATGTAATGGTTTGCTGTGTAAGGCAAATCTGTAATAAGCAAGGAAGCTGTCCCCCAAGGTGTTTCTAAGGTGGCTGTCACATACTGAAGGTCATCAAGGATGTGGTGGTCTCTTCCCACATAAGGCAACATAGACTCTGTCCTCACAGAACCATTTAGTTTGGAAAAGCCCTCTAAGACCATCAACTCCAACTGCTCTCCCAGCACTGCCATAGCCATCACTATCCCATGTTCCCAAGTGCCACATCCACACATCTGTTAAATCCCTACAGGGATGGGTTCTCCACCACTGCCCTGGGCAGCCTGTGGCAGTGCTTAACACCCATTGTGGTGAAGAAATTTTTCCTAATATCCAAACTGAACCTCCCCTGGCACAACCTGAAGCTACTTCCTCTTGACCTGTCATGGTACAGCCCAACCTCCTTTCTCAAGGAGACTCTATTCCTAGGGTAGTTTTCAGTTCAGATGTCCAGTGGAGGAGCTTTTCCTGCATAGCTTTTCTCTGAACAGCATTTAGATCCTTCTCAGCAACCTCTGGTGTGACACATCAGTGCATTCCCCTCTGTTCTACCCTCTGGGCAGGTCTCAGCATCCCCCACACTCTCCCAGTGCCAAGCTCAGGGTTACAGGAACCCCATTCCCTTGGTGTGCAAGAGGATGTTTACCAACACTAAACCCTTCCTGTTGGCATTGATCTCTCCATCCACAGCTTACAAAAACAGTTTGGGAGCAGCAGTAGCAACAACTCAAAGTAGATTTTATTGCTTTGAGGCTTTCCCAGAGTAGAAGTAGCTTCATCATCAGCGCCAGTTTGCTCCCACTGGAAGCTGTGATAGAAACCCCAGCATAACTCAGAGGATTGAGCTCTGAACCCTATTTAAATCCACAGCTTTCCATTACAGCACTTCAAAATCACACACTGTCAACCTCAGCTGAAAAATGCAGGTGGTTTAAGTCAATATCATCCCCAAGGAATATTAACAAGTCAGTCAAATAATTCTACAAAAATGCCCACTTAAAAAGTAGGAAAGGCAGAGAGGGCAGAGAAGACCAGTAATTTGCCCCAATACACATTTCAAACTATGAAATAATAACAATTTATTCCCAGTTTCCACTTCAGAACAATGTTTGCCTCCATCTCTATCACAATTATTAATCCTGAAACTACTTCACAGATGTTGTTTGCAGCTAATAAAAGCAGCACTTTCCAGATTTCCCCAAACGTAATTTTTATTATTGCTTAGACAATTAATGGAGATGCTCTCCCGTGCCAAGGAAAGTTAAATACAAGAGAACACACAGAACAAAAATCACACTCCCCAGGGTCTGATCCTTTTCTACACAAGACTCTTTCCTGTTAAGTAAGAGCCTTCAGGTGTAAAAGAGTGACTATTTCACATTTACCTTGTTTCAAGGGTTTCTTGCATCCCCAAACACTGCTTGTCATCTCTTTAAAAAGCATGTCCAGCTCTTCAAAATCAATTCAGTCCTGGTATTGATGCAATTATTCTTCAGGCTCATGTTCACCCATTCAGGACACCTAGAGGTTCACTCATAACTTCAGAATGAAGGCATTTTCAGGGAAATAACCATATTTGGGACAGTGTCTGCTTTAAATTATGTTGCTTGTCTTCCTCTCCACTCCTCCCCGGGCTCTTGCTGGGTCCTAGCCACCGCTGTGCTCTGGACGGAGTCAGCTACTGTGTGACATCCTGCAGCCCTTCCTTGGGGCAGGCATTGAAAGACAAGGGGATTTTTGCCAGAGGAGCTGTCAGGATCAGGCTGTGGGTTTTCTCCAGAGGATAAGTAACTTATTGGCGATGCCATTGTTTGGCTGTGTGCGTGGGGCATGACAGTGTGTTTATTTTGGGTGTGTCTGCCAGTTACATTCCTGCAGGGTTGCAGTCTCCTGCACCTAAATTTCTCTCTGCATCTTTAAGGAAACAGTGTTTGCAGATTAAATGTTTAAAATTCATGGCTGATAATTATAAATCCCAAAATCTGGAAACCTGTTCTGGAAGAAATAACTTTTCTCTTTTTGCAATCATCCTATTAATGAGAATGTGATTGCAGTCTGTTGGCAGGAGGGGGTCCATTGCTGGCTACAACACCCTTGATGGATTTTCATGGCATGAGGCAGGAATTAGGGCTAAAAGCCTCCATAAAGGCATTTTCAGATGAGCTGCTGAATTTTTGGCTGTAAGTAGACAGTGCTGAATATACTAGATCAAGTGGGAAGTATTCCCACTGCAAAGGGGTGCTTTTGTCATGTAGAAGATGATTTCAAATTGCCCAAGTTCAGCTGTTTATTTATTATTTTGTGCTGCCCTCTAGAGCTGGAGCAGCTGGTTTTCTCATTTCCTTTTGCTAATTAAGTCCTGCTTCAGGAAAATACACCTCTACACAGATTTCCCTGCTGTTTTCTCCCAGAGACACAAGCCTGAACTACCACAACACAGTTTTCCCATGGCTGAAATACTACACCAAACAGCTGGGCTCTTAGTTTGCTTGGTAATGTACCCTGAAATGAGAGGTTTAAATCACAGATTTATAGAATCTCAGAATGGTGTGGATTGGAAAGGACCTAAAAGTTCATCTAGTTCCAGTCCCCCTGCCATGGGCAGGGACACCTTTCACTGGACCATGTTGCATGTCCAGCAATAAAAATACTATGACAAGGCAACAGGGGAGGGCATGATTAGGTGCAATGGATAGAAAAATACTCATTAAGCTTTCAGGAGGACTGTCCACCAGTAAGATTATCACAATCTCAGAAGAGTTTCCCTTGACTGGGCTCTCTTCACATTAGTTTTGATCACCTTCCCCCATGCAAGTCATGTCTTGAGCTTCATTTTGCAGTGCTGTTTTTCACTTCATCCCTTTGGCATGCTCCCTGGAGTAAAGCTCTCCATCTGCAATCCCCGAGGGGTAAGCAGGAAACTCATGTTGAAACTGGGGACCACTGTGCTATTCAGAGATTTAAACACCTTTTGGATGCTCTGGCTTTAGAGCTTGCCTTGTCAGCAGTATGCAATAGCACTTGAAAAGCACAGATGCCTTGCAAGGAAAACCTCAAATATTTGAGGTCTCCAAGGAAAATAAATACTTTTTTTTTTTTTAGTACGATATTTTGATCTGATTTTAACTACAAACATCATGCCTCTAATTAAGAGCAGCAAGTGGCCAGGATGATAGCAGCTTCCAATTTTTCTACACCTGGATGTTCAGAGCACTTTAGGAAGTTTGGATTTACAGGGATAAAAATAGCAGAGATTTTGTGCTTTCCAAAAAGGGAGCTCTGCTCCTCAAGCTGTTTTATTGAGTAACCAGGTAGCTGTGCCAGCTGAACTGTAAAGAAGAGCCTGGACAGAAACAAATGCCAGAGCAGGAGGGAAGGGCATGCACTGATTCTACTGCTCAGGGTTTTGCTTCAATAAAACCACACTCTCAGAGGACACCAGCTGCAGTGGGAATGATTGGTACTGTCCTTGCCATCTTTGTCCTTTCCCAAAGGGGATCTGGCAGTGAACAAAGACTCCAAAGCATTTGGCTGATTTCCCAAATTTTCAGTATTTTTGGCTTTGGGCTACCCAGCAGTTTACACTTTAAAGTGTGTTGAAACATTAGCATGGTATGGGCTTGGTATGACACACCTGCAGGGCAAGTGTCACCTGCCTCAGTCAGAGACTGGTCATAGAATCAGAGAATGGCCCAGTTTGAAAGGAACCTTGTAGATAATCTAATCCCCCTGCCATGTGCAGGGACACATTCCATTAGACCACTTCCTCAAAGCCCCAATCACTATCATCTCCATCACACAGACTAGAGAATCAAGCTTTTTTTGCCTACAAAATAGCAAGGGCTGTCCCATCCCAACAATGCCAAAGGGTATGCCGGTTTTGCATCACAGAAGTGATGTTCTAAGAGAACCTGCTAGCAGTTTCCTCCGTGTGTGACAAAAAACCAATCAGTAATTAGCTTTGAGAATTGACAATCTGTTAAACTACTGAGAAAACTGATACACCTCTGTGAGCTCCCATGCTAAAACCAAAAAACCCGGGGAATTCTGCCTTTTCTTTTCCGGCCTGTGAGCAAGTAACTCATCCGGCCCAGCTCCCCTGTCTCATCTGGGCCAGGTCGGCCTGGGCGGGCTCTGCTGTGGGGCCGGGCCTCATTGGCGGATGGGCAGGGGAGGGGAGGCCACGGCGCCAGAGCCGGGCTGTGCCACAGCTTCTAACATGGCTGCTAACATGGCTGCTGACATGGCTGCTAGCATGGCTGCTGATACGGCTGCCAGCATGGCTGCTAACATCGGGCTGCTGACATGGCTGCTGACATGGCTGCTGACATCAGGCCGCTGTGAAGCCCTGCCCGCCGCTGAGCAGGGGTCCGCCGGGTCCCAGGAACAGGCAGGACCGGGCCGGCTCAGCCAAGATTCTGCCGCCATTGGGGTTCGTCCACACCCACCAGGCAGCGGGAGGAGAAGCCATGGCCCCCTCCCCAGTGCGCTGGCGGCTGAGTTCTGGTCTGGCTGCTGAGATCCCGGGCACCGCCCCAGCCCAGCCGCAGTCCTCACAGCTCCCACTGCGAGCTACTGAGCCCAGTCAGGGCCACCGACCATCTGCAGGCCCTGGGCAAGATATCAGCTCTTTCAGTGCTTCAGTCCTCCCTCGAGTGAGAGAAAAGGACAAAGTGCAGACACATAGAGAAGCAACATAAAGACACCAAGGTCAGTGATGAAGAAGTCAAGCCCCAGATGGGAGGGATGAGGAGATGCCTTAATCTTAGGACTAAAATCCTCCTATAAAGCTATAGAGAAAAATTTAATTGATCCATCAAACTTTTTTTTCTCTATAACGCCTTGAAGAATTATGGGGGGAAGGATTGTTCAAACCTGTGTTAAAGCAGGCAAATGTTGAAATAGCTGTGAATTTAATAAAAAGGTTGAACAAGGAGAGAGAAGAGTGATGAAGACTCTATGCCCCCAGGGAAAGAAGAAAAAGACCTCTATTCTCAGAAATTAAGATGATCTGGGAAATAAATAAAGAGAACCTTTGCTTTTGAACAGCTCATCCTTAAAGCAGTATCCCATAACTTGACATGGTCCATAAACACAGCTGTGGGAAAATCTGTGAAAAATGGGAGGGACTTTACAATTCCAGGTTTAATTTTTCTGGGTGGCTGCTATTCATGAAAATTAGAAGCCATAAGAGAACTGTTTTCTTGTAGAAAAGTCTCCATGAATTTACTAGAGGGACTCCTCTCCCTAAGTAAACTGAAGAAAAGCTATTCTAGAAGTGATAAACTGACTTAATTCTGTGTGTTGTGAATGAGAAAGAAAAGGTTGTAGGGCGAGGAGAAGTGTTCTAAAAGTTTTATTCTGATTTTTATTATTCTTTCTTTTCTTTAGTTACTGTTAATAAAGTTTTCTTTATATCCTTTTAAGTTTTGAGCCTACTTTGCCTTCCTCCTAATCCTATCTCACAGCAGGAAATAAGTAAGTATATTCTAGTGAGTGCACTGGAGTTTGGCCAGCACTGAAACCCACCACAAAGGGTTTGCACCTGCAAGCCCTGTGAAATCCTTATTTTCCAGTGGTGTCTCAGCAGTCACTTCCTACTCAGTTTCTGTCAATGTCAGTTTGTCAGTTGAATTTCATCCTCTGTCACCCAAAGTGAGGGACACCTTATCAGACCTCCCCTCAAAACCCTTTCCCCACCATGGCCCAGAGCAAGAAGAAAAAGCAAATCCTAGCTGCTGGCTCTCACCAGTCAGTCTGTGAACTGCTGCAGGCTCCCAGGGGTTTCAGAGGAACATGAAAATGTCTTGACGATTTTGTGTCTTGAGTCTCCAGATCTTTTGGACTCTGTCCATTCATAATGCTGCTGCTTTCTAAGGCACTGCTTTTGTTTGAGTCCTGTGTCAAGCTCTATGAATCAAACTCTCTAGAGAAGTCAATAAAACAAGTTCCTGCCTTAGAAAGTAGGTCTGAACTGTAAACGCAGGAGTGGGACAAGTCTTGCTCCTTTTTGGCTGGAATAGCTCCATGGTCATTCATCCCACAGGGGAGATGGAGACAACATTAATATTAACCCTATTAAAAAGAGTATCCAATGCCATTCTGAGCCACAGACTTTGAGAAGGAAGCACAGCTCCAGCTCCTGACACTCTACAACTGCAGAATCTCCAGAAGCTGATTCTCCTGGTTTATTTTGTTCCTGCAATCTACACTGTGCTTGGCATCTCACAGGCAGATGCAGCCCCATGTCTTCCTGGTATCAAGTCCACAGATCAAAATAGAGACTCATCCATCTCTTGTAAAGCCAAGAAGGCTTTCCTCCTGTCTTTTGAAGCTGCTGCCTTCCTTCGTTCTATTTCTGCCCTCTCTTCATGTACATCTTTATCAGACGTTCAGCCAACAGCATTTCCCCACCAAAAATTAACATCTCCAATTATTGAGGTTTTAGTCAGATTCCCTACTTTATTCACCCTTTTTCCTCCTACTCTTTTCAGGAAAGAAAATGTAAATGAAGAAGAACTCAGTGAAACCCACAAGCCTGGAGAATTTGTGAGTGATGGGTAAAGGGACAGAGGGAGATGGGAAAATGAAAACTCTTATATCAGCAAAAAGTTACATGTACTGGCATTTGCAGATTAAACTATCTAAGCATGAAATACTCTCCCTGAGAACAAAATTCAGATTCAGGAACCAAACCAGAATATTTTCTTACCAGTTTATAAAATACACTTTTAATTCAGCAATATTATT